GGACATGGGCCGCATCCACTGTTCCATCACTACGTAGTCCAGCAGATGTTCTTGCTTGGACACGACATGCATCAATGATTTTGTTTGGATGTGCCGATGCCGGAAGAGCGCTTTGGTAATTACAAGCCAATGGGCTAACAGGCCACGGACCGGTCGTGTACAAGTGGTGTCCGCGGCCCGGGGGTTGGGGACCCCTGCTATAAAGAACGTTTTTGGGTGAAAAAGGGTAATTTTCGATGCTATCGGAACAAGTTTAGCCTTTAACGTGAATTTTCTTTACTCGCTTAACGACCAAATAACTTAACGACTGGTTTCGTGGTTCCAATTACCGTCGTTAAGAGGGGTTCTACTGAACTACTACGACGACCCTGCACTACTATACACTACACCATACAGTACACCATGAACTACACTATACACTACACTATACACTATGCTATACACGACACTACTACACACTACACTAGACACTACTATACACAACACTACACTACTATACGCTGCACTACTATACACGACACTATGTGGGGGCCGTTGGCCCCCGCGGTCCCCCCCGCCTGCATCCCCTATTCCGTTTACGTTACCCCACCTCCCTAATAACCGCTAGGGTTTCGCCGGCCTTCGGACGCGACGCCCCTACCCATACGGCTTCACGCGGCGATCCCACGCTGCAAGCATACGTGCGCACAGCATCATCAATCAAACGCCATACTCCCCCTCTTTACACCGCTACGTACAGCTCTCGCACGCTGCGAGCGTGTGCCCGTCTATAGCCCTGTGCGGCACTCACCTCCACGTCGAATAACCACGTTACCAATGCGCACCCGTATCCGACACGTAGCGAACGTACGCACACTCACGCACACAGCTCCCCGCGGCACTCACTCACCACTGAATACTCGCGTTATGATCGCGCACCGGTATCATACACGGAGTGAACGCACGCACACACACGCCGCTCCACACGCAGCACACTGCTCGACGCCGCTCTGTGCAGCGCTCCCACGAGGCGAGCCGCAGCACTACTCGCGTTCACACCGCTCACGAGATCACACGAGGCCACGCTTCGCTATTAATGATTTATTATTTGCTACCTGCGAATTGATGCTAAATCAGTATGAGTCGACGAGGCTGGCCTATTCTACCACCCCTGAATCTATTCTCTATTTATCGGCTACGATCCTACTTCACCTTCTTACTCACTGTTAGGTGCCCACGGCGGTTCGTTGATCCCGTACTCGCAGCGCACCTCGATGCGTCTCACGGACGTTCGGGTCGCTGGACTGGAGAGCGTCCTGTCGCCTGGCGCTGGAGTGAGAGTGATTTCCCCTTTGCGCCCCCTTTTTATCCTCCCTACATCGAAGGGATGCGGCTCTCAGTCTTTCCTTAACAATGGGCTCGCGCCCGCTAGCACGCGCACGGCGGTTCCGGGCGCCTTTGATATGCTAATCAATGTGCGCGTGCGCGGCGTAAATTCTAATTAATACCTTTCTCACACAGGCCTTTATTATTGCAGATTATGCGGCGGCGTCCATCACAAAGGCTCGCCGTGGGAAATTTGTGCACGGGCTCCCCTCTCCCGATCTATTCATACTTTCAGCTTAATCCTTTACCTTCCCTAACAATGGTGCCTGCGCGCTCAAGCGTAATTATCCTAACCATCCGTGACTATGCGCAAGAGCCCCTGCGGTCCCGCTACTCATGCTGTCCCGTCCCTCCCCTGCTTGCCTCGTCGACACGTGGGGGGTGTGTGTGGGGGATGCGTTTCAACCGTGGTGGCCGAATGCCCTTCGCCACGGCCATACCATCTTAAGGCCGGTCGCAGCGCCGCGGTGCAAAGAAGCGTCGGGGGAGGTCGTCCAATTCCCTGATCGCCGGAAACCGTGAGAGTTAATCCCGATAAGGGTTTCTCGGATAAAAACCGGTCTATCAGGTGACCTCCCCATCCAGCTCTATGGGGTGGTGAATGCGTGCGGGTGTGTTCATGTGAGGTGAGGTGAGGGGGACGAGGGGTTGGCTCCGTCGCTTGGTGGTGGCGAGGTCGGGGATGGGGCGCCTGCCGAACGGCTTCATGGTGGCGGCATCAAAACTACTATAAACTACACTATACACACACTAAACTATTATACACTACTATACACTACACTAAGCCATTAACGTGCATTTCATATACTCGCTTAACTACCAAATCACTTAACGACTGGTTTCGTGGAACCAATTACCATCGTTAAGAGGAGGGTTTCATCTGCACGAGGGGCTGGGGTGGTCGTCGTTCACCGGGGCCGGGCGGTGGGGGGGGGCCTCTGCAGGGGAGCGGCTGCTGCGGAGTGGGCGAGTCGGTGCCCGGTGATGCTAGTGCGTGGAGCAGCTGCGTGCGGTGCTGCCATGCGGGCGTGGCAGTGACCGAGACTGCGGCTGAGTAGAGGCGCTCAGAGCGCTGTTGAGAGCAACCAACCAAGTCACGAGACTGCGGATGCATGGATCCATTAAAGGGCGCCGTTGTGTGTGCGAGCCAAGGTTGAGGTTGATGCTGCGTTGAATCCTGGGAGTGCTGCACCACCGTTGGGTCCTGGGGGGGATCCCCGAGTCTGCACGCGACCTCGAGAGTGAATTTATGCACCAAACTGAGCTTCTGCCACGTTGCCTCGTCACCCGGGAGTGGAGCACGCGTCAGGATTGTGGTGCGAATGGTCGCCGCGCTGTGGGGTCGCCGTGTTAAGCCGGTGGACTTACGGGGTTACGTAAACGTGCGCTGTTACTGTTGCCGAGAGTTTTGAAGAATTGGTTGCATTTGGCTCTTTCGGTAAAGAATCAAAGAGTGTGGATTCCTGCAGTCACGAAAGCTTCAAATCAAGGTTGCACTTGGTTGTCAAGAAATGATTATCCGCCACAGTTGGTTCGTGTTCTTGAGCAAATTGTTTCAATTGTGCATGACGAATCGAGGCATAGTTAGTCAATTCCAAATCTTGTTAAGGGGCCGTCCATAAATGACCTCACGCACCTAGGGGGGGGGGGGCGGGGGGTCAGACATTTGTGACGATGTGTGACGAGGGGGGGGGGGGTTGAGAAATGTGATGTCACATAAAAATGCTCAACTTTAAATAAATATAGACAACACGTTCTACTTAATTAAATTGGATTTTTAATACATGTTTTCTCCTACAACATCAAAATGCAGCGCCACATTAAATACGCACTACAATGATAATAGTTTAAAGCGATTTGAAGCATCTTTTATTTTCAAAATAGAAATATGGTGTTGTGGGGGGGGAGCAGAGCTTTGTTACGTCATATTTGAAGGGGGGTCTGACTTTTTGTGACGCCGTGTGACGAAGGGGGGGGGGGGGTCAAAAATCGCGTGACGTCATTTGTATTCCTGATCCAAAAAAAATCATTTTTGTCGCCATTAAAGTAACGTTGAACAATCCGCGCTGCTGCCCTGTAACAAATTTTTCGTGGGAATTACACGGCAAGGAAAATGGATCCTAACTCCTTTCTCTCTCTCCCACGTATATAAAAAAGAGCGACCCTTATAATTTGCATGGCTGCAATATCGATTCGGGTCGCATTTTGTAGCTGCTCACCCCGGACTATCCGACAATGCATCATATATTAACAGAGCCATGTTTGTTTGCATGCTCACCCAGAAGTATAAATGCTCTGATCCGTGCATTGTCTTTGGACTGTTCGCCTTTAGGCGTTGTTCTCTGGTCTACTAACACTAGTGGTGAGACAAGGCCATAAAGAAGGCTGCTGTCTCTGGTGTAGACATATCAGTTTAAAATACAATGCCTATATATTTTCAGAGCATGTTTTGTTTGCATACTCACCACAATGACTGTGTGGTTAATGCAGACATTATTCCTTGATAAAGTTTCTGTTTGGTGTTTTTACATCTTAACAAACTCCTGTTTCATTGGCAGAAAGGGTAAAACTTATTCTTATATTTTAATACTAGAAAGGGAGGTCCTATGAGGTGCTAATACGTTGAAACACAAAATTGATGCCTGTTACAAGGAATAAAGTCTGCATTAACCACAACTTATTTGGTGTTTGAACATCCGAACACAACTCCTGTTTTATTGCCAGAAAGGGTAAAACCTATCATTATTTTCTCAAAATTGATACCGGCAAAAAAAGACTTATTTTGTATTTTTTTCACACGCTGATGTTGATGTGATACAGCCGCACTACCCCTGGGGCGCCTGCCCCCCGCCCACATGAGCGGGTAACGGTGCCGGGTTCAGCAAAGGGCCTCGCCCGGTGGTTTGTGGCTCCACAAACTGGACCCTGAGCCACAGCCCCGTGACCGAGTTAAACACGGCAACTCCCACCGGTGCCTCACAGCTCTACAAGTGGAACGCGACTTTGAGACAGGTACAAATTATTTTCATGAAGTAGTTTAAAGTGTTAAACTTAAAACTAGACAAACAGACTGAAAGACGAAGATAACAACAATCTCGTGGAGTATAGCGGCAGGGAGCAACGAATTTACTAGCAGCGTTCCTCTGCCAGTTCAGTTGAGACGAGTTGAGGTGAGTTGGGGTGAGTTGAGGTGACTTGAGGTGAGGTGTGATGAGGTGCCGTGAATTGTGATGAGCTGTGATGAGGTGAGGTGAGTTGTGATGAGGTGAGTAGAGGTCAGGATGTCGATTTGAGTCGAGGTGATCCGAGTCTTATTTTTTAAGCCACCTCTAGAGTGAAGACGTCTGCACTCTCTCACACGTCAACACATTACTGGGCACGTCTCGTGATATGCAAATCAAACTGAATGACTTCCTACTTGTCACCTATTAACGCGTCTCAGACACAGCCAGCGACTGCCTGAAATACAGACAGAGAATGTCTGAGCTACAGCCAGAGACTGCCTGAGCTACAGGCAGCGACTGCCTGAACTACACTTAGCAACTGCCTGAGCTACAGTCAGATACTGCCTGATCTACACACAGTGACTGCCTGAGCTCCATCAAGCGCCCGTCTCTGAGTGGAGCGACAGGGCCATGGCGAGTGCGGCTCCCAGTGGTAGCGAGGCTCCAGGGGAGTTGACCTGCCCCATCTGCCTGGACACCTTCTGCTGCCCCTGCACGCTCAGCTGCGGCCACTCGTTCTGCCTCAAGTGCGTGGAGGACGCCTGGGATGTGGCAGAGTCCTTCTCCTGCCCACAGTGCCGAGTGACCTTCCCTCGGAGGCCCAAGCTGAACAAGAACGTGGCACTCACCAACCTCATCGAGCAGCTGCGAGTGGCTGAGCCCATGGCTGCAGATTCTGCTGCTTCTGCTGTTTGCTGCGATCATTGCAGGAAGCCCGCAGTGAAGACCTGCCTCAAGTGTGAGACGTCGTTCTGTATGACCCACGTCGCGCCCCACCAAAAGTTGGCAAAGTTTAGTGACCACGTCCTGGTGTCGCCTGGTGTGAAGCTGGAGAATCGACGGTGCGCAGAGCACGGAGACGAATACTGCTTCTACTGCGTTAACGACGGACGCCTCATCTGCAGGGACTGCACCGTCACTGTGGATCATCGAGGCCACGAGCTCGTCACTCTGAAGGTGGAGCACGACAAACGAAAGGTGAGGAGGAGGTTCGCATGGTCACCACGTAGTACCCACGATACCGCAGCATCAGCTGATGAACTCTGTCATTGGCTCTCAACCGCAACATCTAATTATGACGAAACCACAGCGAGTGGCTCAGACTCATTTTAAAGTGTATTTAATATTTTTCATGCCCGTCAATTTATTTTTCAAACGAGTGTTTGAAGGGTAGATTCATAGTACAGTCGACCCTTCTCCATCGCGACTTTCCACATCGTGGTTTCGATATATCGCGGGGTCGGCATATGAAATGAAATGGGATTTTTTTGGGAGTTTTGCTAAAGCCATAGACGACACGCGAAGGCCAGCAGACGACACACAAAAAGTTTACTAACTTATAAATGCATAAATTATATGTACAGTACTGTATAATATTATTGTATTTTATATTTTAACTAGCTTGTTTGTCCGTACAAGGACGGGTGTATATTGCAATAAATCTGAAATATTCAATAGAAAAATTGTTCAGCTCATGATTATTAATGAGGGGGGTGGGTTGCCCCATGTGGAGTGACGTAACCCGCTCATGGTTATTGGGGAGAGGTGCAGCATGTTGAGTGACGTCACCCTCTCATGGTTATTAATGAGGGGAGGGGTGCGGCATGTGGAGTGACGTCACCTGTTCATGATTATTAATGAGGGGGGTTGGCCTCATTTGGAGTGATGTCGCGCGCGGGACACACAGACATCTTTGGCTCATTATAGTAGTAAATACCATAATTTACACCATTTTTTAAGTTACATTTTTAAAAGTTAGTTTGCGAAAATAACTGCGGTTCTATGCGCTAGTTTGGAGGACACTAAGCGTATTTACGGCAGCCTCTCACTTGATATCTCGCAGTGATCTCGCAGTGATCTTTGTATCTCGCGTTTCTCGTATCTTTTTGTACCGCTTCACTCGCCAAGGGGACCAAAACATTTTACGCGTTTTTTCTGATCGTGGGGGGCCTGCGCCCCTAACCCCACGAGGTGGAAGGGTCGACTGTATACAGGTGTAGTGGGTTAAATTCAGACACACACTGGAACTTTGGAGACAACACTATTTATTAGGTAACATAACAATTAACACTTAACATAACGACGTAAGGTGGTAGCCACCTTTCCTAACTTAACCAACACACGGGGATACTACATCACTGGACCAGGACAGCCCAACACGCTGCCTGGTCCACTAGCGGAGACCGGAGAGCTTCATCCCAGAGATGACCCAGAAGAACATCACAGAACAGTCCAGAACAGCACAGAACAGTCCAGCTCTCCATCCACACCCCGCTTATAACCACTCCGGCATGGCTGGCTCTGCCCCAGGCCACGCCCCCTCCCCCTGGGGCCCCTGGCCCGCTTTTATCCGGTCACGTGTCCTGTTGGGTTCACACAGAGGGTCACGGCCCGACACGACCTCCGTGACAACTGCCGACAGCCCCCATACCGAGCCAATACAGTAGTGTGGTTCTACTACTCTACACAGGCATCAGGGTCCGGTTCGAACCCACGACCTCCTGATTAGTAGGCAAGGCAGATAAGATCTCACCACTATGGTGCCCTGTCCACCCACTACTCAGATAGCCCCGTCCACGACTCGGATAGGCCCGCCCACTACTCATGTAGCCACACCCACCTCTCGGGTAGCCCCACCCACCACTCTGATAACCGCTCATTACTCAGGTAGCCCTGCCCACTACTCCAGTAGCCCTGCCCACTACTTCATTAGCCCTGCCCACTGCTGAGGCAGCTCAACCCACTACTTAGGTAGCCCCGCCCACTGCCCAGATAGCTCCAGTAGCCACACCTAATATTTAGGTAGCTCCACCCACTGCTCAGGTAGCCCCACCCACTACTCAGGTAGCCACACCCACTAAATAAGCCCCACCCACTACTTGGGTCACCTGCTCATTATTCGGGTAGCCCCACCCACTACTCCGTTAGCCCCACCCTCTGCTCAAGTAGCCCTTCCCAATGCTCAGCACCGCTCACTACTCACGCAGCCCCAACCACTACGCAGGTAGCCCAATCCACTACGCAGGTAGCCCCACCCAATACGCAGGTAGCTCTGCCCACTGCTGAGGCAGCTCCACCAACAACTTAGGTAGCCCCCCCCCCCCCCACTGCTCAAGTAGCCCCACCCACTACTTTGGTAGCCCTGCACACGTTTGAGCTCCTCGAAAAATTAGTTCCCTTCTGCGCTTGCTCCTCCAGGGCTACTGCCCCCATCATTGTGGAGGGGTTCGCGTGGAGCGGGGGTGAGAAGGGACACTTGGAAAGTGAGTGGAGTCTCCCCTGGTGACGTCTCTCACAGAAACAAGTGGGAGAGGAGACGCGGGCGGTGGAGGAGAAGAGGAGGGAGGCGGAGGAGTCCGTGAGGCGGATGGAGGCCGCTCGCAGGGACGTGCAGGTACCGCGTCTGGGCCAGACTCTGACCCTGTGACTCCACCCTGAATAGGGTTTGTGATGGAGAACAACTCCATTAATTCACGTGGACTTCCATTGGCTCTAAACACATTGTGGGACTAAAGAAACAACGGTTAATGCGCCTCAATAATCAGGACGATCAAAGAGGTGGTTCTCATCTCCACTGAGAAACTGAATCAGTGGTGAAAATTCCACATTCCCATATCTCCATACAACTTACCACTTCAACGACTGTTAACTATATTGGTCAGATGAGGTGGTACGTACCTCTTATCCAATACTCTGGTGGCAGAGTTGGTGATCACACACAGACTGTTGTACACCATCTTACTGACATCACTCAAGCTTTGGGGTGGCCAGGTGGCAGTATAGCAAGTGGTTTCATGATCCCCTCTCTTCAGCCATACATGTGGTTTTCTCTCACATTCAAAACATTAATTTAAGGAGGAATTGGCCTAACTTCCCATTTCATTAAGGCTCTACATGTTCTTCTTCTTGGTTCTTTCGATAAAGTCACGTAGAAGGGAAGTAATAAAACAATGAAAATAAAACATAATAAAATAATTCTCACGACGTTTCGGCCACAACGCAAGCAGCCGTCCTCAGGTGAAAACCAGGTCTGTCGAGGCGACAGCGTCTGAATGAAACAGCACACGAGCTTGGAGCATATATATAAGCTGGGTTGGAAGGGGGGGAAAGGGCGCCTTGACAAAAAAAATTGCATATCAAAAGGAATTTAGCATATTTATGGGAAATGCAGGAATGTGATTAGTACTACATATGCCTGTGCATTATGCAGGATTAGCAGCATCAAAGGGAGGGGATATGGGAAATGCAGGTATGTGAATAGGACTAATTATGCCCGTGCATTATGCAGGATTAGCAGCATCAAAGGGAGGGGTAGCATTAATTAAGGGAAGGAGTGTTAATAGTATGTAGCTGCAGTAACTAAAACCAACACGTAAACAACTAAAGTATAAACTACATAGTATCATCAGTATACTAATTATACTCTACAATAAGCTGAGTTACTAACAGTAAGTAATACATTACAATTCTACGTCGTAAAAATTATATAATATGCTTCCATCTAAACTTTATTCTCTTACATCACACGAGTCTACACTGTAATATATACTGCCATAGACATACCCAACATTAAATTATATACTGTATTGCTATAAACCTTATACATTGTAATATAACACTACGTATTATTATACCCACCCTATTGTATATCACACTGCTATATATTCACTATACAATTACGATACTATATATTACTTTGTACATTGTATTAAGCATATAAATGTTATACTATTTGTTATTATACACTGTACCATTGACCATTGTGCCAATGGGTGAGTAGTGGGAGGAAACTTGCAGCGGAGCAAAGAATCCATTCCCTGCGGAGAATACAATGCCAGTGAGTGGAACGCGGTCTGAAAGTCACTGTAAACGTGAACACAATTAGTTAAGATCCGAAATGGTTTATCACGTCCTTCCAATGATTGCTAAGCCAGAATCCATCTTCTCGGTTGAAATTGTCTATGTGTTTGTATATGTAGATCGCCTCATGAAAGAATCTCTCATGGTAGCCAGATTATGAGAGCTCGGTGCCCCGAGCTCTCATACTCTGATGGTGCATTGTCTTTGAGTTGTGCGCCTTTTGGCGTCATCTGGTCCAACCCATGTGAGACTAGGCTCTAAGGAAAGCTGTCTCGGGTGTGGACCAATCAACTTCAAGGACAGTGCACATTATCAGAGTTGTGTTTTTTGTTTGCATTATGACTGCAGGTATTGTGGTCTATGCAAACATGACTCCTTGTAAAAAGGTGTCAGTTTTGTTGCCAGATAGAAGGGTAAAAAACCATTATCATATTTTTACTGGCAAATGAGGTTCCCATAGTGTAGATGCTTGCCCCGAGTTCTCATACTCTGATGGTGCATTGTCTTTGAGTTGTGCGCCTTTTGGCGTCATCTGGTCCAACTCATGTGAGACTAGGCTCTAAGGAAAGCTGTCTCGGGTGTGGACCAATCAACTTCAAGGACAGTGCACATTATCAGAGTTGTGTTTTTTGTTTGCATTATGACTGCAGGTATTGTGGTCTATGCAAACATGACTCCTTGTAAAAAGGTGTCAGTTTTGTTGCCAGATAGAAGGGTAAAAAACCATTATCATATTTTTACTGGCAAATGAGGTTCCCATAGTACTTACTGTTAGTAACTCAGCTTATTGTAGAGTATAGTTAGTATACTGATGATACTATGTAGTTTATACTTTAGTTGTTTACGTGTTGGTTTTAGTTACTGCAGCTACATACTATTAACACTCCTTCCCTTTATTAATGCTACCCCTCCCTTTGATGCTGCTAATCCTGCATAATGCACGGGCTTAATTAGTACTATTCACATACCTGCATTTCCCAAATCCCCTCCCTTTGATGCTGCTAATCCTGCATAATGCACAGGCATATGTAGTACTAATCACATTCCTGCATTTCCCATAAATATGCTAGATTCCTTTTGATATGCAAAGTCTTTTGTCAAGGCGCCCTTTCTCCACCTTCCAACCCAGCTTATATATAAGCTCCAAGCTCGTGTGCTGTTTCATTCAGACGCTGTCGCCTCGACAGACCTGGTTTTCACCTGAGGACGGCTGCTTGCGTTGTGGCCAAAACGTCGTGAGAATTATTTTATTATGTTTTATTTTATTATTTTATTACTTCCCTTCTACGTGACTTTACCGAAAGAACCAAGAAGATGAATCCCTGCAGTCACGAAAGCTTTAAATCGAAATTTAGCTCTACATGTTGAAGTAAAATTACAGATTTTTCTTCGCTTCATGCGAAGTTAAACAAAGCATCGTCCTGATAACCTTGCACAATGATAATGGCACAAATGCTAAATGTACTCATGATGGTATTTGATTATTTCAATGCCTCACAGCGCCCACCAGCTATGGCGAATCGTGTTGTAGTGAAAATGCACAGCGGCGTTATCAGAGGCAGAGGAAGAAGGAGGCCTCAGTGCTGCAGACTCGTATCACTGTCTAGACACCTTCAGAGTTGCATTCGGGTCACACCGACCTGAATGTTATTTCACAAAGGACCAGACATTTAATGAACAGAAGTGGCATTTGTTTCTCTTTGCAGGGATTCATGACAGATGAAAAGGTCTCAATCTCGGGCAGATTTGCCAGCGCGAGAGCAGCATTGGATGTGGAGGAGAAGGCGGCTTTAGAGCAAGCGGAGCAGAAAGGGCGCAAGCTGCTGTATCAGATCGAGAAGAAGATCGCTCACTACCAGCGCGAGATAAGCGAGCTCCAGGCAGCAGCCACTCGCCTGCAGGCCCTACCCCAGAGGAGGAACGCACTCACATTCCTGCAGGTGAGCGATGAGTCTCCAGTGTCGCTATTGGCACAGAGCCCTCTCACCAGCAGCAGCAAAGGGATGTTCCTGAATGAGAGTTCGCATCCACTGGGCTTGAGAACAAAGCCCCACTCATGGATTCGCATCGCAGCTCTAGTGGCTGCCATTTGGAAAGCCAGCTCATATTTTCTCAGTTAAATTAATTCTGTCTCCCGTCCTTTAACAGATTCCCATGAAGTTCGTTTCATTGTGAATATAAACTAAATGTTAATGGAATTTCACTTTTTAAATCAACCATACAACAACAATGTATACGGTATTTATGATTGTATTCAGCCATCATCTATCCACTTATCAATGAAGGCCTCCCCAAGCCATTGCTACATCTCATGATGCCGCGATGCAACAATCCACCAGCTCCTGCTCACGAGCCGATGTCATCTCTGCTTCTTACTTCGTGTACCACGAACTTCATTGTTCATATCAGGGATGCTCAAATAAATACTATCTCATACACTTATTAATTATATCATTGTGTCTTGAACATCACTTCTACAAGATCTGCACCATGTGCATTGATTACTCGAGAAACTTCTAGTCCTACGTTCCTCTCAACACAGATCAGTATCAACCGGTCTCACTCTGAAATATTTGCCCTGCAAATCAGTGTTGGTCCTCAGGGGGGTGGCGAGATGTTAACTACCTCGCCTGGTATACCCAACCCTGACGTCCTTATATATTTGGAGTTTACATTTCTCCCTCCACGGTCGCATGGATTTTTCTCCGGGTCCTCCAGTTTTTCCTTCCACATTTGGAAACGTGCGTTTAGAGTATTGGGCTGCTATACATTTTCAGGACATGAACCACTTCGTTGAGCTATCATTTGTGGCCAGGTCGCTTCTGAAAAAGAGCTATACAGCTGCGTGGGCCTTTCCCGGAAAATAAATTGTAGTTTATCGTTAACTATCAACCGGTCTCACTCTGAAATATTTTTCACATAAGTCAGTGTTGGTGATCATAGGGTCATAAGCCAAGACTTTGGGGTTTATATTCCACGGTGTTGCAGTGGGAACTCCACTGATCACAAGGGATTGGAGGTAGAGTCACAGTAACGCATCTCTCTCTTCCATAGGGGCACCTGGAGGAGACGCGCAGGTAAAAGACGACTTTCACTCACGACTCGACACACGACAACATGGGACTGAGTGTGGGGTGCGGGCAGTGAGACATTGGCTGTGTGTGGGGATGCTGTATGCGGTGATTGTTTGTGTGGTGATGGTGGTGTGTGCGGTGGTGGTTTTTGTGGTGATGGTGTGTGTGATGATGCTGTGTGGTGGTGGGTGTGGTAAAGCTGTGTGATGATGCTGTGTGTGGTGATGCTGTCTGATGGTGCTGTCTGTGATGATGCTAAGTGTGGTGATAGTAATGCCATGTGGTGATGCTCTAATTGTGATGTGAGTGATGATTTGTGTGATGAGTCTCGATGTGATGGAGATGTGATGATCCCACGTGTGATGGTGATGTGATGAGTGTCTATGTGATGGAGCTGTGATGATCCTGTGAGTGACGATGCTCTGCGTGAAACAGTGGCCATGTCTGTTCCGCTTTCACAGGACAGGGAGGGTTACAGCAGATCCACCCTCAGGTCCGAGCCAAGAGGACATTGCCTCGCTTAAAGGCACCGAGGGAACTGTCGCCAAATTCCTGTGTGAGTTCTTCAGTGTGAATCATGGGTGATGGGGCAATTTTCACAATAAATTATCGCCATGTGTGCACGAGGGCGAATCAGCCTCAAATTATTCCATGGTGTTGTGTGTAAACATCGCCACTATGGAGACAAAGGTTGTCAGGCGTAGTGCTGGCCAACCAACCCCAGTCTGTTAAGGCTGCACGGGGAGTATTCATCTTTGTTTGCATCCTGGAAGTTGATGTGGTGTGAACAAAATCGCCACTAGGGAGACAAAGGTGGTCGGGTGTGGTGCTGACCACCTGAATCCTCGTGTGCCCTGCTGGTCTTCATAGACACTCGCTAACAGCACTTGCCCCAATGGTCTGTTTAGGCTACACAGGGGATCTTTGTCTTTGTTCACATCCCATTCCAGGACCCTACTGAACAGAACTATGAGACTCAGTGTGGTGTTCTTGTGTAAATAATCAGCATTACGAGTCAGGGGTAATTGTGATGTTGAGATGCAGTGTGTGCCTGTGAATGTGTCTGTGCATTTGTGCGTGGGGGGAGCGGTGGCATAGTGGTTAGCACACTGCACTATGAACCCAGTTACCTGGCTTTGATTACCCGCCATGGCTAACATCAGTGGCAGGTGATATCTGATTCAGTCCTGGGCCTCTACTAGGCAGTTTCAACCTCAAATGAGTTCCTGATGCTGGTAATGGTCATAATGATGGTGGTCGTGATGAGGATGGTGCTAAAGATGCTGTTAGTGATAATGTGAGTGATGGGAATGGTGATAGCATTGGTGATGGTGAAGATGGTGACATTGGTGTTAATATAGGTGGTGATCGTTGTGATGGTTTTGCTGATGGTGCTGATGGTAGTAGTGATGATGTTGGTATGGTGATCATGGTAGTGATGGTGGTGATGGTGGTTTTGATGGTCGTTGTTATAGTTATGATGCAGGTCGTGTTGATGTTGGTGATATTGATGAAGATGGTGGTGATGGGGATAGTGGTGGTCGTGGTGGTGATAGTTGTGGTGATGGTGGTGATGTTGCTTATTGCAATAGTGATGTTGATGATGTTTATAGTGTTGATGGTGATGTTTATGTCGTTGTCATTGATATTGATGGCAAGGATGGTTGGTGATGGTGATGTTTGTGATGTTATTGTTGATGGTGCACATCGTGGTTGGTGATGTTGATGGTGGTGATGGTGGATGATGGTGATGACGGTGTTCTGTAGTGATGTTGTCATCGCTGTTGTCACAGACGGACGCTCACCGACTCTGGACACAAACTCAGCTTATAACCATCTCCAGATCTCCTCGGATCTCAGGACGATGACACTGACCCGTGCCTCTCAGGGTCGCCCCAATCACCCACACCGGTTTGATCGCTGGTCACAAGCCCTGTGCTGTGAGAGCTTCTCGTCGGGCCACCACTACTGGGAGGTGGACGTGGGGGACGCGCAGCTGTGTCGGGTTGGAGTCGCGTACGGGACGATCCCACGGAAAGTGAGTGGTGATGCTGTACAGCTGCTGGGAGGGAGCGATGCGTCCTGGTGTTTAGAGAAACGTGATGACAGCTTCTCAGTGGTTCATGGTGGAGTGAGGACCGCACTGTCGGTGAGGGGGGCCCCCTCCCCCCGCAGAATCGGGCTTCACCTGCACTGGGAGGGGGGGTTCCTGGAGTTTTACCGCGCCGACTCCATGGAGGTGATCCACGAGGTCCGGCAGAGATCCTTGCAGCCTCTCTACCCTGGGATGTGGGTGGGGTATTGTAATCAACCATTGAAGATCGTGGATCTGAGTCGTGCATCCTGAGGATGAGGAAAAATAGAAACCCAAGAAACTGAGATGGAAATCCAAGAAACTGATGAAAGGGGGGATGGTGAGGAGAGGGTGAAGTGAGGGTGAGGGGAGACTGGAGAGGAAGGTGAGTTAAGGGGACAGGTAAGCGTGTCAGGAGGGGTTGAGGAGAGGAAAAGATGGGAAGGAGGGGGTAGAGGCGATGGTGAGGCAAGGTGGATGTCAGGGGAGGGTGGGGTGATGGGAGGGTGAGGTGAAAATTGAATGAAGGGTGAGGTGAGCATGGAAGGGGAGGGTGAGGGGGGGGGTGAGGTTCAGGTTGGCGTGTGTGAGCGATGTCGCTGGTGCAGTACAAATCGTCGGTGTGGAAGTTTGAGGGATTTGAATGAAATCTGAGTGGGGAATCAGCGCAGCCCCAGAGTCCGTGTGGCCGCTCCTTCACCTGCAGTGCGCGCTCGCGTTACCACGCCCCATCATCGCTGCGATTCACTATCATCACCCCATCATCACTATCATCATCCCCATCAACACCATCATCATTGTAATCACTACCTCCATCATCACCATCATTACCACCATCATGATCATCAGCATCATTGCCATTACTCCATTTTAATCACTATCATCACCACCACTCTATCATCATCAAAATCATCGCCAACATCATCAACATCATTATCCCCATCATCACTACGACCACGACCATAACCATCATGAACCACCATCACCACCAACACAAAAACACCATAATCCTCACCATTATCACGTCCATCACCATCATCACTATCTATACCACCATCATCACCACTACCAACACTGCCACGATCATCACCACCATCATCGTTACCACCACCATGATCACCACCATCATCACAATCACCATCATTATCATCATCATAAACACCACAAAAAACACCATAATAATCACCATTATCACATCCACCATCACGACCATCATCATCACTATCATCACCGTAAAAACCACCATAACCGTCATCATTATCACCATCTCCCTCATCACTATCACTACCACCACCACAATCATCATCACCACGACCATGATCAACACCATCATCATCATCACCACCCACACCACCACCACCATTATCACCATCACCCTTCTTACCATCACTACAATTATTATTACAATGATAATCACCAATACCATCATCACGATTTCACCATTATTACCACCACTACCACCTTCATCACAATCATCATTACCATCACCATTACTATCATTGTCACTAACATCGTCATTCCTCCTTCGCAAAACCCTTCTCTCCACAAGAAACATTAAAGACATAATACACACCACGTACTTTCTGCACCCCCCCCCCCCTTCACTCTCCCCCCCTGCAGCCGATCTCTCAGATCTCTCCAAGTGCTGCCACGGGGTCCACTTTCTGCCCCCTCCACCTCCTCTCTCCCCCCACCTCCTCTCTCCCCCCGCCCCCTCTCTCCCCCCACCTCTCTCCCCCCACCTCTCTCTCTCCCCCCGCCCCCTCTCTCCCCCCACCCCCTCTATCCCTCCGCCCCCTCTCTCTCCCCGCCCCCTCTCTCTCCCCGCCCCCTCTCTCCCCCCGCCCCCTCTCGCCCCCCGCCCCCTCTCTCCCCCCGCCCCCTCTCTCCCCCCGCCCCTCTCCCTCTCTACCCCCGCCCTCTCTCTCCCCCCGCCCCCTCTCTCCCCCCGCCCCCTCTTTCCCCCCTCCCCCTCTTTCCCCCCGCCCCCTCTCTCCCCCCGCCCCCTCTCCCCCCCCACCTCTCTCTCTCCCCCCGCCCCCTCTCTCCCCCCGCCCCCTCTCCCCCCCCCACCTCTCTCTCTCCCCCCGCCCCCTCTCTCCCCCACCCCCTCTTTCCCCCCGCCCTCTCTCTCCCCCCGCCCCCTCTCCCCCCCCCCACCTCTCTCTCTCCCCCCGCCCCCTCTCTCCCCCACCCCCTCTCCCCCCCACCTCCTCTCTTTCCCCCCTATTGCCGAGGCCTATATAACCTCGTGCCACGGCAGGTCTCTCGCCTACTTCAGCAGTGTTTTTCTTGCCGTGGTTGTACCACCTGATGACGATTACTTGTGTTGCGATCGAAACGTCGTGATCTATTATTTTTCTACCTCCGTGACTTCAGCGAAAGAACCAAAGAGTATGGATTCCTGCAGTCACGAAAGCTTCAAATCAAGATTGACACCACTTATTGTTATTATTTGGTTCTTTCGGTTAAGTCACGTCTAAAGATAAAATAATAAATTAAATAATAGCATATTACGACGTTTCGATTGCAACACAAGCAATCATCATCAGGTATAATGAAATAGCGACATAAAATCTAACCAGAAAACTATAGACAGACATATTAGCAGACAGATATCAACAAGATATCAACAAGATACATGTATCTTGTTGATATCTGTCTATAGTTTTCTGGTTAGATTTTATGTCGCTATTTCATTATACCTGATGATGATTGCATATAAGCAGACAGATATCAACAAGATACATGTATCTTGTTGATATCTGTCTGCTTATATGTCTGTCTATAGTTTTCTGGTTAGATTTTATGTCGCTATTTCATTATACCTGATGATGATTGCTTGTGTTGCAATCGAAACGTCGTAATATGCTATTATTTAATTTATTATTTTATCTTTAGACGTGACTTAACCGAAAGAACCAAATAATTCCTGCAGTCACGAAAGTTCTAAAATTAAGATTGAACCACGTATTGTTTTACTCATCCCATCAGTCGCAGGCACGGCCTTCTGGGAGTTCCTAATTGAAGCAGCATTTGGTTCAACGCAAACAACACTCTGGGCAGGTTTCGAAATGCAGTGTCTCATCAGCAGCAGAGTCAGGCTCGCGTGAAGCAATGTATGAATGTTGAACTTATTTCGCATCGTACGTAGCCAACGTACCTAGCCAACCGTGCAAATCGGAGGTGCAATGCTGGCGAATTGGCCAGATGTTCGGTGTCTCCATCAGCAGCAGCTAGGCTTTGCTTAAACCAAGGCTCACGAAGTATTTGCCGACTGGACTCCTCGCCGCCTGCCTGTATGTATTATGTGTTGAGATTATATTGCGCCAAATGTAGCCAACTGGGCTAATCGGAGGTGCGGGGGAAGGACAACAAACTAAACACAAAAACACACAGGCACGGACAGTCAGGTACAAAGGCCGTGCGGGTTGCTCGTGTTTGATTAGAAAATAAAAATGGTAAATAAAAATCGAAGGTAAAAAAGAACACACAGCACGTGTTATTGTCTTGAGTATTACTGTTTGTTTAAAGTGGGTCTATAGAAAGCAATACACGTACAGTGACACAGACTAATTTCACGTGAGTTTGTGTGTGACCAGACCAGTACTCGCTGTATCTGATTCAATACAAATCCTATTGTAGTGCTCGTTCTGTTTATCAACACAAATGTGCCAAGTCTACTGCACGGTGAACGTGAAAGAGTTAATGCATTAGCACTTTGATAGATTCACTCAGACCCATAGATTCACCACACAAGAGACACACTCACTCAGAGACACAGACTCACGAACAGGGACCCATAGATTCCATCACACACAGACCCATAGACTCACAACTGAGATCCACACTCACACAGAGACCCATACACACACACCGAACCAGACTCAGAGACCCATAAATTCACTCACAGAGACCCATAGACTAAGACAGAGACCCATAGACTCACCACACAGAGACCCATAGACTCATGACACAGATACCCACAGACTCATGACACAAAGATCCATAGACTTACACAGAGACCCATAGACTCACAAAGAGACATATATGCTCACACAGAGACCCACAGTCGGTTCTGCCGCCACTGCTGCTGTATTTGTTGTTGATGTGGTTTATGTTGTTCATGTCGTTCCACGGGGATGTTGGGGCCTCTGACCATCGTGGGTCAGGGCTGGAGACAGCTTCCCTGCACGCGTTGCTGGTGCTGTGTAGCACAGCAGAGGCACGGGAGCAGGGCCAGAGGGAGTGTCAATCGTGGTGGGGTACACGTGTGTGTGTGTACGTGTCTGTGTGTAGATGTGTGTGTGTACGCGTGTCTGTGTGTACACGTGTCTGTGTAGACGTGTCTGTGTGTAGACGTGTGTACGCGTGTCTGTGTGTGTACACGTGTCTGTGTAGACGTGTCTATGTGTGTATGCGTGTCTGTGTGTAAAGGAGTCTGTGTGTACGCGTGTCTGTGTGTGTACACGTGTCTGTGTGTACACGTGTCAGTGTAGACGTGTCTGTGTGTGTAGACGTGTGTAGACGTCTGTGTGTGTACACGTGTCTGTACACGTGTCTGTGTGTGTACACGTGTCTATATGTTTGTAATGTAGCGGTTAGCGCGCTGCGCTACGAACTTTGGCGACCTGGGTTGGGTTTCCGTTCACGGCCAACACCAGTGACGATTAATTATCTGAACCGGTCCTGGGCCTCCCCTAGGTCGACTCACCCTCAAATGAGTACCTGGTGCGATGTGTAAACATCGCCACGAGGGAGACAAATGCGGCCGGACGTGGTGTTGGCTACCCACCCGCTCGTGTGCCGTGCCGGCCTTCATAGGTGCTCACTAACAAAACTTACTCCGACAGTCTAAGGCTATACGGGGGATCTTTGTACACGTGTCTGTGTGTGTGTACGTGTGTCCATGTGTGCGTGTACGTGTGTCCATGTGTGCGTGTACACGGAATGGGGAGCGGTAGTGTAGTGGTTAGCGTGCTGCACTAAGAACCCGGTTACCCGAGTTTGATTCTAGCTCAAGGCCAACACTGATGACGATTATTTGGTCCTGAGGCTCACCTAGGTCGACTCAGCCTCAAATGAGTACCTGGTGCAGTGGTGTGTAGTGAACATCGGCACCAGGGAGACAAAGGCGGCCGGGCGTGATTCTGGCCACCCACTCTCTCGTGTGCCAGTGCCGGCCTTGATAGGTGCTACAACCCGCGAACAGCACTTGCCCCTAGAGTCTATTGGAGGCCACACGGGGAAGCTTTGTCTGTCTCTACAATGTG